AAAAACAGGTTAGGGACACTTTATGTCTTAAGTTTTTTATATTGGGAATATATCAGGGAGCTATCAGGTTGTTCCTGACTAAAACCCCTTGGCTATGAGGGGGGTCTCGGTGCTGAATAAAATCATATGGGGTTAACCAAAAAAATATATTAAAAGTGGCATCCAGTACTGAAGGGGTTTAATGAATGATTTCAACTGGTTCCTTTTAAGAGCTTTAGGAGAATTATGGTGCTACTCACCAGGTGTGGTGAGGTTTGATTTCCTTTGTACTTGCATTGGAAGGACCTATGGTCACTGTTGATTGATCTAAGGTTCTGTACAGTACCACTTCTTAAGGTCCTCTGAAAGATTTTACCTTTTTGTCTAAGAAGGTCTTGCATCTGAAAGAAGGATCTTCCTCTTTCACCTTTGCCCCAGTGATCTGAACCCAAAACACAATGGTGAGAGATAAAACACACTAATGCTGTACCACCAACACCGTATCTTATTTATCTGGGTCATAACAGTGAGAAATTTCATGGAAGAAGTAGTTTATTTTGATTGATAACAGCTCTGCTGGGGCATGTGTTAAGAAGCTGTGTTTTTCCAGATTTAATCCCTTACGGGTACTTTTGAGGAAATTTTTTATTCACTATGGGACCAACATTACTGTAATCATTCCATATAATGGAATAAAGCGTGCAAAGTGATTTTGCAAAAGGGAGGATTCCGCTAAATCGAATACTGTTATACCTCTGGCAGTGAAGTGGATATGTTCATGAAATCCTCTTTGTTCTCAAGGTTGAATTTAAATTACAATAGGTTCCAGTTCTTCATTATTCTGTATTTTACTTTGCCCAAAATTAACAAAAACTCCTATAATAAATAATAAAACACATCATAAAATAAATTAGGGTAGCACATATTTTATGTAAAAAATAAAAAGCTCTTGGCATTGCCAAGAGCCAACCATGCTTTTCAGCCAGCCAGCTGACTCAGATATGTGTGGCTTCCTTACTGTGCTGTGTGTATGCCATGGTGTCACATTGGGCTCCGGGGAGGGAGCACGGTGCTGGCTGGGTTGGTGACGAAGTTACAGCAGCCTCCACACATACGTTCACTTCCAACACATATACACCATGTTCCTAATTTTTCTTATTTTATAGTTTTATATTAGTGTACATTTTCTTTATTTCTAAATTACCTTAGAGTGCTGAAATTATATTTCCAAAACTTATAGTTTCATTCCATGTAACAATAGCAATGTGTGTAGCCATCTCACTTGTGAGTGGCGACAGGTTATGGTGAGTTTTGTTATTATGTACTTTACATAATGTTTGATGCTCTTTACATTATTCATACAGTACGTCATTCTCGACTACTGCATGGTTACTTAGGCAGTAAGTGCTGTATGTACAGTACTCTTGTATAAGCCTATCTCGTGTATAGTCTGACCCATGATTTTTCATATGCCCCTTGCATAATTCGACTCTAGCTTTTGAGAAATATCAGTTTTATATCTAGACATATATTGTAGCAACACACCAGACTCGCCAACATGTCTTGGCTGTGATCACCACCACAACAGCTGACACTATGAACAGTTTAAATATAAATTTTGCTGGATCCAGCCCTAAAAGTATCTTTATCTTTAATCTGTAACATCAAACCTTAAAATTGTAGGCATATAAACAGTAATAGCAAAAGCATATAAATAGAAAGATAAAAAAATTATACTACATGTTAGTGTACATACTGTTAAAGTCTCAGGAATGCTCATCCTATTAATGCAGCCCTACAGTTGGGAGGCTGCCTCTCTGCCATCCCTTGCTAGCAATGATACTCCGTGCCATGGGAGGTATACAGTACAGTAGTCCCTTGCCAACCGTTGGAGTTAGGTTTCTGAAAAATAACAAAGTGGCTGGCAAATCCGTGGTTGGCAAGACTAAAGGCTTATGAGAAATAGGGGGTTAGGTTCCATGGCCATGGATAAACACCAGGACCTCAATAAGGTAAAAAACATAAAGAGAATAAACATTTCTTACGTCCACAGGAGTTAGCCCATGAAAAGGGAGGGGGGAGCATGCTCCTGTCTCCCGTGTCCTCAGTAAAACAATTGCCAAATGGCAATGCAGTATTTTTCTTTTCTTTTATTTATTAATATGTATTTTATTCATTCCTCACATTTACGTAGGAAAACTTAAGAACACGGAGAGATAAAGACACCACATTAATCCACAGATACTCGAAATTCAATGCCTTAGATAGTGAAATGGTATACCTTTGATACCCAGAATACGCGGTTTGCAAGGGTCTACTGTACAAGTAGTACAGTCATTCAATAATTTGTCTTGGTGAGATAATGCAAGAGTTGACTTGGTCAATAAATGGGATATCTAGATCAATCCTTCACTTCTAACACAGAATTTAATATTTATATAAAAATAATATGTTAACTTTTAGCATCTTTAGCTTTTCTTTATATACATTTTAATTGTGTTTTGAAATTTTCTGGTAATTTAATGCTACAAAGAAGGACCTATAAATAAATTGAAAAGGTTTATCAGAAAAATTTTAAAATTTTAAAACTGTTTCAGCAACTCTAGTGGAAGTGAATTTAAATAAAGTCTACAGTATACAGTACAGTACAGTAATTTTGAAATTAATCTTACCCAAAATCTGTACAATAGTGATGATATAATGGTATTGTATTCATAGATGAAAGATATTCACCACTGTGTTTTGATCAGCATAGTTTCACAACACTCCGGGATGAACTGCTTGTACATTTCTATCAGGTGCATGTTGATCTTAGACTATATCTTATGAGCACATTCACTCACCTGCTGTTATAATGTTCACCTACTACCATAGTGACACTCTTAATGTTGGTCACCAAAAAAATAAATCTTTATTAATTTGCCTCATGCTAGAAATGACTACAGTCTACAAAAATGTGACTGTTCAAACTTTTGAAATTGTTGAGAAAGAAAGGGTTTGAATGATACAGTAATTGAAAAATCTAATAATAATTATTATACAGGCAGTCCTCACTATGCTCACACCTATTAAACATATTTTTTTGCACAAACTAATTTAGTGAATTAATGAACACTTTTTGTCATGTACAATACAATGTATTTTTGCTAATATACATTTTTTCTGTTGTGCAAATTTCCAAAGTCATGTTCAAACTGCAGGTACTGTTGATTGCACCACTCTGCTTCAACTTGCACCATTCCACTGAAGAGAGTTCACTATGCAGACACTGTACTGTCCTGTCCTGTCCTGTTGCCAACTCAGGGAATCTGGTCAGGGGCCTGTCCCTTCTTATTAAGTGCTTGTTATTGCTGGTAATTTTCTTAAAACATTCCTTAAACCTTACTTTATGAGTGACAAACAACCTTCAACTACTCCAGCAAACACTTATGCTGAGAGAGTTCACCACTATTACTTGAAAGGTGAAATCAGAGGTGCTTAATACGCATAATCGTGGGACATGTTTAATAAACATTTAGACTGTGTGAACAATTCTTGATGCAGAGAAAATAAAGACAAGCGTGGAAATTGTGACCTCTATAAGCAGTGGACACACACACACACACACACATAAACAAACATAACCACTCACACACACATAAATAAACATAACCACACACACGCACACACACGCACATAAACAAACATAACCACACACACACACACACACACACACACATGCACACACACTGTACTCTCTCTCTCTCTCTCTCTCTCTCTCAGCAGTACAGTATCACTATTCCTTAATTCTTTGGAATACTTTGAATAACATACGTAATTCATATACTGTAACAAGATAATGGCTTGTGAGTAAACAGTTACGTGAAGGACTAGTTCATGTCTAGGTCGGCTGCCTCCACTTTTAGGGAGAAGTAGGAGATGAGGTGTTTTCGTTATCATGATTTAGTAAGGATTTTTCTTGTCTTCCATGATTAATTTATCAAGAATTTTGAATAAAAGTAGTTTATGTTTTTTCAATTAAGTACATGTCTTTAATATAGCATGAACATTTTCAGGAGAATATAAAGAGTTCAAAAGTAACAACAGGAAAAATTCAGGTCTCCATAAGGTTGACTGCGATGAAAACTGTTGAATCCCGATGTATTATTATTATTGAAAAGAAAATCCAGCAACAGAAATGCTATTGGATTAAAATTACTGTACGTAATTATTTTCCCATTATGACTTACCCATGGTTTATCTGTCAGCATTTTTTTAGATTGTTGCAATGGCAAACAACACATACCAGTACGGTCCTTATAGTGTAAATCACTAAACACCACAGAATGGGTATGGATCTGGCTTAGTCCCATTGTGTAACAAAGCATAGTAAGTTTTTTGCATTCCTGGATTTTACATGTTACTTTAATTACATTGAAACCTTTATTAAATGGACTATATGGAGAGGAAAGCCCATTTATATTTAGGTCCATTTGATGTGAAAACTCCATATAATGGACTATATCCATTAGATTGATGTCCATTAAAGGGAGGTTTTACCATATACATTTAGTTGTATGTAACGATTCCTCGAGTTATTACATCTTTTCTATTAGTTTGGTTAGTTTTGGTTGTGAATGGTCTCTGAAAATCAGCACCAGGAACCAATACATAATTTATTCTGGTAACACTTAAGACTGTACAGTACCTGCAGTAATTATTGCTTTCACACTGAATTTTGGCTTTACATGCACCTTCCATGGAATATCTGTACAGTATAGTACAGTACATCCCTTTTGTATTGTGAAGATTGCCTGTACTTTGTAGCACTATATGTTTTGGTTTTAAAAGTACAGTACAGTACCGGTATATTTGGTGAGAAAGTACTGTATCCTACTAGTGTTTAATGTAATAACTTAACCATTATAAGTTTTTTCACTAGTTACACTGTTATTTGATATATTCATACATTGTTAGAATTATGAGAAAACTAAAGTATTTTAAACAATATGCAGGGTATTTTACAGCTGTATCATCCACAGCTTGGTGATAGCGGGGATTCACCAGAGTGGACAAGTGATGCTGAGGCAGCTCGAGCGAAGAGAGGCCACGTCCTACGGGAACTTTTAGACACTGAAAGAGTTTATGTCTCAGAACTCTGTTCAATACTTAAGGTAAATATTCTAGTATATCAGGAGTTGTGGTTTCTTAAGACTATAGTATTATCAAAATAAGACAGCTGTTTGGAGTACTGTACAATACTGTTCAGTACAGTAGTACTGTACCATGATTGCCATTTTAAACCTAAAATATACTGTTCTGTATTAAGTGCATAATATTCATAATTTTTTTTTTAATGTTTCATTTTTGCCAAATTTTGTTAAATAGGGGTACAAAGAAGAAATGTTGAACCCAGAGATGCAGCCTCTGATCCCAATCAACCTCTATGGTAAGAGTGATCTTCTCTTTGGCAACATGGAGGAGATCTTCCGCTTCCATAATGATGTCTTCCTGCGGGATCTGGAGAATTGCATCAACACCCCAGAGCTCATTGGCCTTTGTTTTGTACAGAGGGTAGGTCTTTTTAATATTTTGAACTTACATCTTCTAAATGGGACAAATGCTTGGCAAAGTAAATAAGGTGGAAAACCCAAGGAAATAAGTGGACATTACAGTTAATGATGAAAGAAGAGATGTATTACACAAAAATGGGAGTTAAAAAGTTTTTAATGTCTGCTCTAAAAAAATAATACTTATTTACTAGATGCAGAAAGAACTTGATTATCCATGGGTCTAAATTTGAACTTGGCATGTGCCTGGTCCTTCTTGACTTTTCCTGCCACTTACTGGTGCCAGTAATGTTTAGTGTAGTCTGTCATGTAGTTGCATGACAAGTAAGCTTTGCACCTTAAACCCCTTGTGTATGGGGAGTCTCATTGTGCTCAATAAAATTGTCTGGTTTTACCCAAACAAATACAGGGTATTAAAAGTTGCGTCCTCATATTGAAGGGTTAGTGGAGATAGTTACCAACCCGTTGTGTAAGTGGGTCTCTCTGTTCAGGATAAATTTTTCTGGTATTAGCCAAATAAAATATTAAAAGTGGCATCCCATTAGTGAAGGGTTTAATGTACTATGAGGCAAAAATATAAAGGCTCTCTTATAGTAATTGCAAAGAGGAGAGTGAGTAAAGTTTTGACAATCTATATGGTGGTATGAATGTGACAGCTGTTGGTTGTGAGTAAAAAAATTAACAAGTACCCTACCTGTATACATACTATTCATTCAAGTGAAGACATCATTCATGCAAGTGAAAAGGCTTCTACACCTATAAGGGCTAAGATGTCGCAAATACGTATAGTAATTCCATTTACCTTAATTCTTGGTGCTGATTTACTCATCCTCACTGTAAGTAAATTTTCTATCTCATAAATAACAAGTGATCACTGCTTCATTATCACAGTAGATTTTAAAGGCACCGAGCCTTTTACATGTTCCTCTAAATGTGTCCTGTCCTTTACAATCATGTGTGCGGTTGAGGTAGTGAGACCGAATTCATGTGAGAGCGTAGTGATAGTTTTCCTCCTTCATACTGCTTAATTACCTTCATTTTCTGCTCTAGATCTATTACTTTGTTTACAAGTAGATCCTGCACTCTTATTATTACATGGGCACTTTCCAGTCATTTTGCAACACAATTTACCTTCTTGTACTCCTAGCCATGGTCAGAAATCTCAACCCCTCGTGGTCTTTCAATGCAAATAGTGTCATTTACAAAATCGCCCCTCACAGTCACTCGTGCGTCAGTAACAAGAACAGTTTTTATGTTTTAGTAAACATTGGGTAGAGCAATCCAGACTCAAATTGCACCCTTAGAAATGCATCTTCCAGTAGTTGATAGGGCTGGTCCACTGTTACAGGATTTCTGTTTATGAGAGGGGTGCTGTCAGTATGAAATACGGCTAAGCAGGATAGGTCAGGCCAACACGGAACTGCTTAGCTACGCAATCTATGTCGAAAGACCACAAGAGGGTTAAGGACGATTAACGAAAGAAAATTCAGAGATGATGTGTAGGGGATGCGCACTGTAGTGATCTAACAACATGAACTGAGCTCAAAATGGTGCCTTATAGGACGCCTCGCCCGGCTGCCTTACGCCTACTCTGTAGATCTCTTCCACATTATGCCACACTACTTGACATCCATAACAATCGATAATCATCTGCAACCTGAAAATGGACTTAGGGGAGAGTATCCATAAAGTCGAAAATCCGACTCATTATGTATATCGTGCAAAATAATGTGTGTTCATCACAACACACATCTGAAATACAGTGATACAGTATGGAATATTGTACAGTGGTGTATATAGAAATTAAACTTAATTATGTGGCTTTAATAGTTGCACCTCTTTATGCTAGCCCAGCATGGAGATGACAATGTAACTTAAAATTGATGCAGATAAAATGCACAAAAGTAAAATGTGCTGTAAGGAAGTATAACACTGTAAAGGTGCAGAATTTTTTTTTTTTTTTTTGTTGACTGTACAGTACATGAATTTTTTTAAAGGCATTTCAGAAAGTCACACATGCACAGTTATTCATTAAGATCATAGACAAAATATTGAAGTGAAATAACAACTGGCTTGAGGACAGGCAACAAGGAGTGATTATAAACGGAGTTCATTCAGGATGGAAAAAAGTTCTTAGTGGAGTACCACAATGATCTATCCTTGGACCGAACCTGTTTGTGATTAACATTAAAAACATCAATAAAAATTTATCGAGCCACAATGTCAAGTTTGTGGACGACACAAATATATGTGGAAAGATAGCAAGTCAACACGATGTCACAACCATGCTTAAAGATCTGCACTAACTGTTCAAATGGTCACGAGACTTTCAGATGCTTTTTAACATTACAAAATGTAAAACTCAGTATGTAGGTTACAATAACTCAACAAAAATATTCTATTAATAACACTCCTAGATACTGTTGATAAGGAAAAAAGATCTAGGCATTGTTATAGGTCACTCACGGAAGGCAGTCCAACGATGTGAGAATTATAATGCGGATCTTTGAGTACATTGATAGAAAAATGCTCCATCAACTTTATAAGTCTCTCATACATCCCAATCTGGATTACTGTATACTGTACAGGCATGGAAATCCTACCTCCAGAAAGACTTAACATCCCGAGAAAAGGTGCAGCAAAACTACTGTATATCGATTTGATTATCCAAGTAGACCAATGGCCTTAGGATGGGAAATAGGACTGCGAAGAACTTCGTATTTCCTGCCTCTGTTGATGGCTTGAGTGGCCAAGCTCCCCAGTCTGTCACACTCATCCACCAACTTTCAGGCCGTGTAATATTTCAATGTAAATCTGATCTTTAAAATGTTAGTTTTTGCATATTGTAGTATTACGGATATGTAATTTGTCTTAGTATGCCTTATTGTGGGTAAAAATAAGTACCGTATACTTATATTCAATGCGTCCTCCAAAAGCGTGAATTTGCTACCAGAGTTTAACAGTTAATTCATGTATAGATTTCTGATAAACTTCCTATGTGCTCCTGTTTGAAATAATGAATGTACAGTATGTATCTTTATATAATTTAGCAGAATATCTTTCTCGTCAGAAACGGTCATCCCGACGACTATGAATAAGCTCATTTAGAAATACAGTACTGTACTGTACATCATTACTTCTGGACGAAATAGGACAGATTTGCAACAGCCAATCAGCTGTAACTCTTGAGGAGGGGGCGGGGCATCTCTTCTCAGCTGGGAAAAAATGCACTAGTCGCCCAGAGGATTATTTGAGTGTGAAAGGATCTATTTTTTTTACATGAAAGTTGTGCTATTGTATTTTATAATATGCTATATATCAGTTTTATTGTTTATCATGCAAATTTTTGATAAATTTTTCACTTATGCAATTTTAGTTTATATTTATTTTTAAATCAGTTTACCTTGTGCTCACTATAAATCATTTAACTATGAACCACACAATTTATATAGAAGTTTGATGTTAATAATTCAATCATTTAACTTTAAAACTGTTTATAACAAACTCAATTACATTATTATTATTATTATTACATTATTCATTATTATTACTATTATTATTGTAACAAACTCAATTACAGTGTTATTATTATTACATTATTCATTATTATTATTATTATTATTATTATTATTATTATTATTATTATTATTATTATTATTATTATTATTATTATTATTATTATTACAGTGACCCCTCGGTTAACGAACTCAATCCGTTCCAGAAGGTCGTTCGTTAACCGAAAAGTTCGTTAACCGAAACCATTGTTTCAATGGGTTTTTGGGTAATTGGTTCCAGCTCACCGAAAATTTCCTAGATTCAACAAAAATGGTAGAAAAGTTCACTTACTTTGAGGTGTGTATGTAGAAGGCTCCTGGATGATGATGATGATGATGGGATTTAGAATGGGGGTGGAGGAGAAGGAAAAAGAGAAGGCATTGGGGTGGAAGAGAAGTCACCCCATGGTGCCATTTCACCCATAAAATTTTAGCTCTCTTGGTGTAATTCAAGATTATTTTCTTTAAATCAACACTGCACTGCATTATATATTGTCAATATGTAAAATATATTTCAAAATGACCAATAATTTGCTTGGAAACACAGAAAAAAAGCGTTTAGTTGAAGAGAGTCTCAAGCAAGATGTTACCTCCAGTGAAAACAGAGAGAGACTAACTCCTGTTTGCTGTGTTAAGAGGCTGGATGCCGCGCATTAAACTAGTCACTTTACCTTCAGTTATGTTCAATAATTGTTAAAATGACTAAAAAATTGAATATTAAACTTTTAAAATTATTGAATAGTATAAACTTCTTGATATTTACTAAAATAGTAAGGAATTTAAGCCCTAGAACCGATTAATGTATTGGCGGACTGATACTAAAGCTGGTTGCCCGGTCAGTGCAAGCGAAAACATGTTGAGGTCGGTTCGTAAGAACTTCGTTAAACGAATTTTTTTTCGTTAACCGAATTGAAGATCCTTATGGAAGGCAGTTCGTTAATCAAAATTACGTTAACCGAGGTGTTTGTTAAACGAGGGGTCACTGTATTATTATTAGGGAGTACAGTTCTGTACTCAGTGTTTAACGCCCTGCCATTTGAACTTGTAGTTCGCCCTCCGTGCTTTGTGGTTAACCCTCGTTTAGCGATAATTTTGCTTAATGATAGGTTTTTCAGGAATGCAACTCCATTGTTAAATGAGGGATACCTCTAGGGAAATACTTCTTCACACAGAAGGTAGTAGACCTTTGGAACAGTCTACCAGCTTAAAGCTGGTAAACCAAGCTTCAAAATAGCCCTAGACAAGACTATAAAACATAATGGAGGGATCCTACAGAGGCCATTGCCTTTCTTCCCTTGGCAGAGCCATCTTAATTTGGGTGGCTGTTCTGTATATACAGTATTTCATTATGGAGATGTTTCAGGGCTGCATCTTTTAACCTTTGGCAACTGTTCCGTGACTATGTTTAATATTTTTTTGGTGTATTCTAGACCTATTGCAACATTTTCAATACAGTATTCAGAATATTCCTGAATCTATTTTGTTTCTGGTCCCAAGCTTGTTTCTCTAAATTATCTGTATGGTATATTAGAGCTATTAAAAGGTTTAATTTCCTAAACTCGGTTGAAATAAAATTTATCAGAGGGGAAATTTAGATGTTCATCAAATCTTACAGATTTTTTTTTTCCCCAGAAAGATTCATTCCATCGGCTATACTCACTTTACTGCCAAAACAAGCCCCAGAGTGAAGAGCTACGGCGGCAGGTAGGTGACAGCAACCCTTTCTTCAAGGAGTGCCAACGTCGTCTTCACCACAAGTTACCTCTTGGTGCCTATCTCTTAAAACCTGTGCAGCGCATCACCAAGTACCAGCTTCTTCTCAAGGTAAGACATTCCTAAGGGGTAAGAGTAATATATTGTGACTAAGGATATTGTCTTATCTTATTTTTCCGAGCTATGTAAAGTCAATCAAAAAACTATCCTTACGAAATTGTATTAGACAATATGACAACAGACAAAGGATTTTGACAACCCTACCAGAACAACAAGAGTAGTAGTGTTCATTCTGAAATTCATCGAACCCCTAATTACAAATAGTTTATTAAATGAAAGATACTGGATACATTATCTTCTCTGACTATGTATTGTATCTACTGTATCTTGATCTGACTAAGTTCCATATTGTAAAATATATTTTATTATGCTGGTACAGTAAGCCCTTGCTATATCATGTCTATGAATATTACAGTTCACTCAAATTACCTGTCTGTGAAAAGCCATCTAGGCCAGTGCACTTTGTAAGTCCACTTGCTGTTATGAGCATTTTGGCTGTTATTAATTTCACTCAAAGCTACCTTTGGAATTTTTGGCTGTCAGTACGTGATCATGGCACCCCATCATGAATTTTTATTTTTTAGGGAATTTAAATTCATTGACTAGGTATTTGAAACATGCAAGAATAGAAATTATTGGACTGAATTAGTTTATGAATGAGGTGCCTCTTATAGCTTGTTTATATCATGTAAACTGAAATGAAAATTAATCTTGTTCTTATTAAAGTATTTCCTAAACGCTGTAAATTTTTGGAGATAACAGTAACACTGTGATGCATTGTTGTCTTATTGTACAGCTGCTGGTAAGCAAGTGAGTAGCGGACAAAGCTGATCTAAGCAAAATATAGCAGCATGGTTCTTGGGGCGCAGTTGAAAAGATATCACGAGTGAATAGTACATTACAGTACGTTGTAATACAACACATGCATAACATAAATTTTATTTATTCAGTGTGAAAATTAGTCTTGTTTTTAATTTGCAAAACAATGAATTTCCCAAAATACTGAATGCCAGATTTTGTCAAGGCTTTTGACAGCATACCCCATGAAAGGCTGAGAATTAAACTGGAAGGGTACGGGATTTGGGGAAGTGTCCTAGCGTGGTTCGGAAACTTCATGCATGATAGCAAGCAGTGTGTGGTGATTAGTGTTATGAAATTGTCATGTGTACCAGTGACAAGCGTGGTACCACAGGGCAGTGTATTTGGCCCGTTGTTGTTTGTTTGTTTCATAAATGACATTCCAGAAGCTATACATTCCTCTATACAAATGTTTGTGGATGATGCTAAGTTATTTAGGGAAATTAGAACCAAACTCATTGCATAGAACTGCAGAAAGATCACTCTGAGCTTCAAGAGTGCTCAAAGAAATGGCTGTTAAGATTCAATGTCACGAAGCGTAAGAGGATGCACCTGGGTCGTGCCAATGGTAAGGAGGTGTATCTCCATACGAAAACAACGGGGAGTAGAGACGAACTCGCCACTTCCTGACATCACAGTTGGAAAGATAAAGCCTGGAAAATTCCGAAACCATAGAAAATGGATTTCGGGGGGACTGGCGAGTTCGTCCCTCCTACGCTAGACGCCTCATATGTCCCAACGGGACAAAGAAACTGCATTACAGTAAACCCTCGAAGATCCGGACTAAAAGGGGGGACCACCTGTCCGGGAAAGCTGATTGTCCGAATCTTCCGGCGAATGTACTAAATGTATAAAAACGATAAATAATGATATAAAAAACACCAAAAATACAGTACATATTATCCTGATCACTGGGGTTAGTTATACAGACTTTTTCCTGTGAAAAAGCCTAATTTTGAGCAACATATTAGTACTCTACTCATTTGTACTCAAATGTGCTACATTAGGACTAAAAAAAAATTGTTTGCAAAATATGTAATGTCTATATTCAAATTACTCGCTATTTTTCAAGGATTCCAGCAATGCAAGTTATATTCTGCTAAGTTTATTCTGTGAAATTTTATATAGATAAAAACTTTAAGCCTAAAACTACCTTCACCCTGTTTTGGGAATGCTTCTCAGAGAGGCTTCGTAGCCCAGAACACCCAATTTTTTTGTCCGAATCTTCCAAAATCCAGATTTACCAGGTCCAGATCTTCGAGGGTGTACTGTAATTGAGACTGAATGTGAAAAGGACCTGGGTGTGTATGTTGTCAATGAACTGAAGTTCTCGGGCCATGACAAGGAGAATCAAGCAACTAAACTATTAGGTCTTCCCTACCTGGAGTACTGCCACCCTGCCTGGTCCCCAAGATATGCTAGGGACTGTCAGTTAAATGAAAATGTCCAAAGGAGGCCACCAGACTGGTGCCTGTACTTCGGCACCTCAGCTATCCAGAGAGATTAGAGCGCATGCAACTGCCTAGCTTATACTACAGACGGGCAAGGGGGGACCTTATTGAGGTTATAAACATCTGAAAGGGCACTACTCAGTTGAGTGTCCACACCACCAGCTCCACAAGGGGTCACAGCTCAAGGTTGAAGAAATTGCAAGTCCAGAAAACCATGAGGGCAAACTTTTTTGGAGTGAGAGTTGTGAACTCTTAGAACAATCTGCCAGAGAGCATTGTGACGGCTCCAAGTGTGAGCTGTTTCAAGACCAGACTTGACCAACACTGGAGCAGGTTCAGATACATTCAGGAGCCAGTGCAAGCCCAGTACTTGCCAACAGTGTGTAACAGAGTCGTGACCGACTGCCCAAGCGGCTAACAAGCCAATCGGACATGACGAATGTGGAAACCTAAGTTTATTGACAAAAATGGGTGTTAGGTTCTTTTTACATTTGAGCAAAGGGGTAGACATAGAAATTTGCTTAAAAACAATGACTACTGTAAGGGGCGGATTTTCATTTTTCTCTCTTTTATTGTGTCTTTAACATATAGTATACAGTATATGTGTACATAGTATATGTAAGAGAAGATATTTTTCTTTTTATAATATTTAATTTTATTGTTTTCCGTCTTTTCTGTTTCTCTTTTCTTTTCTGTTATTATTTTATAATGTCTATCAGTTTCTTTATTTTCTTTGGTTATCTTCTTTTCTTTCCTTATTTACTGTACTTGTTAATTCTTTTCTAAGTTATGTCCCAAGTACAGTATTTCTTTCAATGTTAAATTCACTAAATATGGCGGGCGTGAAGCACTTGTTACATAGCTGAGATATGATGAAGGAGCATCAAAAAGTGACGCTCTCCCTCGTACATGCATTTATATCCTAGGTAGCTGGCAGCTAACAAATGACTCTGGAACCAATTGTGCTCGTTAATGGAGGGACCACTGTACTGTGAAAATATATTTTTCTTTACAGGTACTCACAATACTTAAAAAGTTAAATAATACAGTTCAAAATAATGTAACTCTTAGCTGCGCTGACGAGGTGACGGGTGAGGTGACGTACCAAGACACTTTCACAGCACACACATTATCAGGACTACTGAACCATTGTTTTATAACATTTTACTTTATAATTTCTATTTTAAAATTAATTGATACATGTTGGCTCGATTTGGCTACTTTTGCACTTAGACAACTGATCAGTGAATATACCAGGGCATATGGAGACACGAGTGATGTCACGAAGCTTCGCAACTGCAACCACAACTGCTGAGCAGCCGCATAAATCATCACAACTGTTACTCAAATGTACAGTACTAAGTTATTACTAAAAATGTTATGTCTAGTGCAAACTATGAGATGTTTATACTCAAATTAATCACTATCTTGCAAGGATTTCAGCAATGCAAGTTATATTCTGCTAAGTCAAGTCAGTGTCATTTTATGAGCAAAAAACTTGAACTCCCTGTCTTTTATAATCCTCTTCCCTCCTGGCTGTCAACACTTCCCCATCCTCCCAGCCAGCAGGGGAGGCAGATGGCAGTGAGTGATAATGATTAATGGGATGAAGGTTGTTTTAGGCTTAAAGTTTTCTCGTATAAAATGTCAGACTTGATTTAACAGAATATAACTTCCATGCTGGAATCCTTGCAAGATAACGAATTATTTGAGCATAAGCATCTCATAGTTTGCACAACACCAAAGAGAAAATTTTTAATCCTTTTGCTTAGTACAATTGAGTACAGTAATATGTTGCTCAATATTTTGGCTTTTTCACGAGGAAAGGTCTGTATAACTAGCCCTAGTGGTCAGGATATTATGGTATCTAATATTACAGAATATTTCAGATAAATTCTTTGTTTAGTTCCGAACATAGAGACTGGTGGTCAGGGAGACCCTTGGGGATAGAAACTGTAATAATTTGAGCTTATTAATACCAGTACCCTTCATATACAGTAAAAGACTTATTTTCACCTTATTATTCAGCTTGTCATTTAAGGATATAATATTGGTAACGTCTCATAGAGAATTTATTCGGGATCATTATGGTATAAAATTCATCTCTCTAACACAAATACAAGTTTATAATGAATGCTGTGAGGAAGGGGGGGGTGGGAAGGGTCCATTGGAAGTTAAATGTGACTGTGCACCCCCCTCCCCCCCATACCCTCACCTGGCTTGCTCTAAGGTCTTGCCTAGCATAGATAACAATGTCCCCTCTTGCAAGTTTGCAAGTTACTTGAGAAAGGTTTGTAAATAAGTCAAATCCATCAATACTGAACTCACATTCCTCTGGGTCGATTCTCCTATTCTTGTACAACAGTTCTACAACTCCTACTATATCGGGTTGGTGTACCTTCAGTAGTGTTTCAAACTCCTCTCTCTTATCAAGGAACATGTCAGTATTAGTGTACATGCCATTCAAGCCAGAATTTGTTCTTGGTAACGTCTCTGCTCTTGGTAGTAACTCCGGCCCCCGTCCATCCTCAGCAGCTGCAGCATTTGCTAAGTACGTACACTGTATTTTGCAGGGTGTGGTTAGAAATGTCATTGCTTACATGGCGCTCACCTCTTCCCGGGTGGGAGGTAGAGCTGGTGACTCGCCCTGGGTGGAAGGTAGAGCTGGTTCCCCCCCCTGGGTGGGAGGTATAGCAGATGGAGGGTGTACCGCTGCCCTCCGGCTCATCTCTGGTGCGCTCACTTCCACTACCCTCCCCCTGGATATAACCCATGTACACCCATCCCCTCTCAACCTTGATTCCTCACTAAAAAAACATGCATTGTGCATATATTCTCTCAAATATTACATCAAGAACTGCTATTCATACAATCCAGCAAAGCTTCGAGCTACCACATTGCACCACTGAACGATGGGTGCGGGGAAGTGAAGGGGGGGGGGACATTCGGCATGAAGCCAACGCTACGACTTCCATCGAGTCAGTAGGGGTAGAGGTTGCATCAAAACTATGGCGCATGAGTGTACCTGTATCAATGATTAAATACAGAATGTTGTTTATTCCACTATGGCTGGTAATCAAGTGGGGTAGTGCAAAGCTAATGAGTGCACTATATATGCTGAAATACACAGGTATGAGGTTTCAGCCAATAACACCTTGTATAAAAGATACACGGTTAAATGCTTGTGATATAGAACAAATATAACAAGAAAATTTATTAAACTTGCAGAATATGATAATTTTATTCTTATTTGTTTCAAATTGGATGAAAAAATTTCAAAATGTACTTAAAATTTGAGATGGGATGTGATCACAGCTGAAATTTTCACATGTAATGATGGCCAAAGTGTGCAGAACTTGGCTGACAGCACTGCACAGGTCTTGCCTGTTTGCCGCAGACTGTGACAACTTGAGCATACTGCTGCAATATAAAAAGTTCCCTTTTTTATTTGCCATGAAAGAATGAACCATAGTACTGTACTCATAGGTATGGTATATTTGGTGGTTTACTGTATGCTTAGGTTATAATTGTGATATTTTAAAGGATTTGCTGAAGTGTGTGGAGGGTAGCCAAGGCCGCCGGGAACTTCAGGAGGCGGTTGACACGATGCTCACAGTTCTCAAGTGCCTCAACGACTCCATGCACCAGGTCGCCATTGTAGGCTTCCCAGTAAGTCCTCATGTTTTGTTAGCCACTCTTTTAGGCTCTGTAGTAATTCCCTGCTCGTCATCATTTTAAGTTTTCTAGTAACTGGTTGATGATGATGATGATGGGAATTAGAATGGGGGTGGAGGAGAAGGGAGAAGAGAAGGCAATGGGGTGGAAGAGAAGTCACCCCACGGCGCCATTTCATCCATAAAATTTTCGTTCACTTGGTGTAATTCAAGATTATTTTCTTTAAATCAACACTGCACTGCATTATATTTTGTCAATATGTAAAGTAAATTTCAAAATGACCAATAATTTGACTGGAAACACAGAAAAAGTGTTTATGTTGAAGAGAGAGTGAAGCAAGATGTTACCTCCACTGAAAAGACACAGAGACTGACGCCTGTATGGTGTGTTAACAGGCTGTTTGGCGCTCTAAAAACTAGTTTCCCTGTACTTAAATTATGCTAAATAATTGTGAAAATGACTAAAAATTTTAATATAAGACTTTTAAAATTATTGAATAGTCCAAACTTCTTGATATTTACTAAAATAGTAAAGAATTTAAGCCCTAGAACCGATTACTGTATTGGCGGACTAATACTACAGCTGGTGGGCAGCCAAATGCAGGCGAAAACATGTTGGGAAAAGTTTTTAAGGAATTCGTTAATCGAGGGAATGCTCGTTAACTGAAGTTAAGAATCTTATGGAAGGTAATTCGTTAACCGAGGCGCTCGTTAACCGAGGGATCACTGTACAGTAGAAGTCCAAAAATCCGGACTGCTTGGGGATTGGGTCGGTCCGGATTTTCGGATTTTCCGGATTCTCAGGCAGTACTTTTAAAATTCAAATTTAAGAGGACTAAAGAAGAGATGAACAGGTATATTTTGAGAGTTTATTCATAAGCAAGTAAAGCATGCTTCATTTATCAAAACGAGCAGTTTTAAAGAAAAATAAAGTCAACACTTGAAAAAAATGTAAACAAACTGTCTAATACCATGAAGAGTCTTGAAATTCCTAACCCATCCATCACTAACTGCTCACTCTGATTCAATGTTTATTTGCTCCCTAAAAGACTTTGCTTTGGCAATAAGCATCAGCCCATAAATTGCCATACCTTCTGATCATTTTAACAAAAACCATTTGTGCAACACTTTATCAAGATTTTCTAATTTGGGCCTTTTTTATATCATAAATTGTAGACTTTCCAATGTCATATGTTTCCATTAGATCAGTATTGCTCACACCACGTTCTAGTTTCTTAATTATTTCAAGTTTGTCACTCAATTTCAATGTGTTCTTCTTTCTCTTCACACAACGAAGTTTATCTACTTTAGGAGCCATTATTATGGGCTTGTACTCTGTACATGGAAAGAGTAGGACTCAAAATTACATATGTTGTCACAGTTTGATTGCTTGTTTTAAAGCGGCGATCGAGTGGTCGCTTGTTGTCGCTGTGTAGCTGTGGCGTTCAAGCATACACACAAAAGATTTATAGTGCCACAAATTTTACATTTGAGGACAAGCTAATTACAAAACTAACAAAATTAGCTACCTATAATTTACAATTACTTTTATTATTAGAATTATGTAAATTAATTTTTTTAACGGAATGCCATTCATTCACGTAACCCACAGAAGCCCGCTAAATTTAAAAAGTTTGAAAGTTTTCGTAAAGTCCGGATTCTCGGGTGGTCCGGATTTCTGGCATCCGGATTTTTGGACTTTTACTGTAGTATATGTATTTTATGCTATACTGTAATCCCAAAAGCATTCTTCTGTAAATATTAAAATTAATGCAATTACTTATTGTTATAATATTCATATTACAGTGTCTTATTTATTTTGCAGGGTAACTTGGCAGATCTTGGTAAGTTGCTCATGCAAGGCCCCTTCAGTGTATGGAATGAGAGCAAGAAGGGACTTAGAGAGCTGCGGCTCAAGCCTGCTCAGAGACACATTTTCCTGTATGAGAAGGTGTTACTCTTTACTAAACGAGCTGGAAAAGACACAGATCGAGCTACATATCATTTCAAGAATGCTCTTAAGGTATAGTAATTACAGTATTTGGTGCAATTTCAGTCTATGAAGAATGATTATAATTGTGTCATCAAATATAGATATCCTTCTGTTTATGATTTAAACAGTTGATCAGACAACTCATATACAGTCACCAACCCAGTTTCTCTATACAGTAGTTTGACATCCCAGTGTTCCCAGGACCTCTGACATGTGTGACTGGATCTGAATTCTAGAATATAGTACAGTATTACCCCGCTTTACACGGTTTCACTTTCCACGATTTCTCATTTACTCGGTACCTTGCCAGAACCGGACTTTCACTTTCCGCGGTGCATCTACTCATATGCGCGGTGAAGTATAATTAATTTTTTTATTTTTTTTTATTTAGCTCATAAAATTCATACAAATTACCCGGCCAGAATATAATTTACATTGCTGGAATTCTTACAATATGATGATCATTTTGAATATAAACATCATGGATTTTGCATTAGACATACAAATTTTAGATCTAATGTAATAATTTGGTTTACACAAAGCAAATATTTTATGTTTTGTGCAAAATATATGAAGTTTACATTCAAAATATTCCCTGACCTGCAAGGAATCCAGAAATGTCAATTATATTATCCTAACTTTAGTCTGAGGTATTATTTATTACTAAAAGTTAAAATCTAGTGTTTTCACCCAAACATTTCTCTGGTAGGGAGGGAAGGTGGGGGGTGGGAGGGAGGGTTGGGACCGACCGACCCAGCTGGCGTGAGTGTGGGAGGGGGGGAGGGAGGCAAGGTGGGGTACTTTGATTGACAGATAGTGTCGTGAAGAACATTTTTTTTTTTTTTATTAACTGAAGATATTTGTTTTAGCTCATAAAATTCATACAAATTACTCGACCAGAATATAATTTACATTGCTGGAATTCTTACAATATGATGATCATTTTGAATATAAACATCATGGATTTTGCATTAGACATACAAATTTTAGATCTAATGTAATAATTTGGTTTACACAAAGCAAATATTTTATCTTTTGTGCAAAATATATGAAGTTTACATTCAAAATATTCCCTGACCTGCAAGGAATCCAGAAATGTCAATTATATTATCCTAACTTTAGTCTGAGGTATTATTTATTACTAAATGTTAAAATCTAGTGTTTTCACCCAAACATTTCTCAGAGAGGTAGGAGCTAGTGAGCTGGGAAGAGGGGGGGGGGGATTTGAGTCCATTATTTGAATGGACATTAACCTGGTGACTGTATTTCTCTTAAATATTAATTGTGTGAGCATACCATCATAAAATTTAGATGTTATTTTTACTACAACATAGGTATTGTGTCGGAAAAAGTTGAGCTTGGGGGTCGGGCCAGTCTATTGGAATTAATCCCATATGTTCTGTTGTTCACTTTATGCGGTTTTCACTTTCCTTTCCGCGGTACCCTGTGGGTTCAATTGACCGCGTAAATTGCGGTACTACTGTATGTTTTCTAACACAAAATAGTCCTCCCAAAAGGAGTGCTTGGAAGTGTCAGTGAGAGCCCTTGCTGCCACACTAATATGCATGCACCCTATCTTCCATGTTGTCAGTGAATACAGACTGGATAACATGACCAATCTCTACTCAGTTCTGGTCACCTGGCCACACTGATTAGACCTCTTTGTGGCTTATTTCATATTTTTCATCAGCTAAGAGTTCTTTTTAACATATTTGGGAAACTTTCCTCAAGATAAACTATTTGTTTTTCAGTTTCTAGGTATTAGTGTGATTGTAGGTGTGTTTATTGTGTTGCAAGACTGTTTGAATTTGCATAATAAGCCAGTCTTTAGTCTACTGGTGAGCTACCCAGCATTGTGCCCTATTTCACAGTTTGTAGCTCAGATGTATTATTTACCAGATGCAGGGTCTGGCCTTAGGCTACAAGAAGACTATTTTAGTTCACTTGGAGGGTCTAGTCTGTACTGATATAGAATTTCAAGAAATTTATAATTTATAAGTGCAAACTTGTTATTCCACCTTAAGGTGACTTAGATCTGCACATGATATTCATTTTGTGGGATAATTGTGTGCTTCTCTCTGTTTGAGGTTACAGCATGTTGGAATCCTTCAGAGGATCTAACTTCACTTTTATCTTCTTCACCACTTGTTAGTTTACTAGCCAGTCAGACAGTTGGTCAGTTCTCAGTCATACACTGTTGGCAAATACTGGGCATGTATGGGGTCCTGAAAATACCTGAACATGTCCCAGTATATGCCAAATGTGGACTTAAAGGAGCATACACCTGGTACCTTCTTCACATCATTCTTTGTCAGGTTATTCCATGATTTCACAACTCTCTCCAAAAAAGTTGGCTCTCACAGTTATCTCTACTGATAACTTGTTTAATTTGAGGCTGAGATGGCCATCCACTAACTCCAGATATGTACTTTTGACTGAGAAATGTATTGTAAGGTGCATATGAACTTATTAAATTGTCCTTTAGTATAAACTGAGCACTTGTAATTGTTCTAGTCTCTCTTGGTAGTGAGGTGTCTAAGTGCTGCCACTAGTTTGGTAACCCTTCTATGGTCATTCTAAGACATTTGGCAGTCTTGGCATATCTTGGAGATTAAGCTGCAACTCCAAGTAAAAAGTCTTATTAAAGATAGACCATCAGATTATGTACAAAAATCTTTGTATTATTCCTATTAGTTTGTTAGTAAGACTCCTCTTCCTACAGTGACTTAAGAACTCTAGGTTGTTGTCAACATAAACACCCAGGTCTTTTTCACATCTAATTTCAGTAAGGGAACATATATATTAGTCAGATTAGGAAATAAGATATGCATATTGGGGGGTATTCTTGGAAAGAGCAATTCTCGATCAGAAGAGAGACCTTGGTGACTGGTTTATTTTCTGACTTCAGCTCTAAGTCATGGAGTGGTGGCAACTGCTGTCAGTATTTGCAGTTGTGCAGAATTCTAGGTTTCATATTTTTAAGGCAAAGTAATATGCCAGTTTTGCACAATTTATGGTGGGGTTCCCCAGGGAATCCACCAATAAGCAATATGAGTCTTCTTGGAAGCTTTTTCAGATAGCCAAACCAGAATCAATCTTAGCATTCTTAGTCGATGGATTTTTTTTTATTATAATTATTATAATTTCCAAAACAGGATCTTCCTGATAATACTTTCGCTTCTCAGTGTGCACTGGCCAATCCTCATAGAGAAGCCTTTGCTATTAACTTTTCCTTAAGGGTCTTTATAGATGTCTTGACTCTTTTGTTACTGATTATCCTTCACAAACTATTGAGGTCTGTTGCTCAACTTGAACCAGTTCTCAAATTCTTGATTCTGTAGGGACCGTTGTAGAGGAGACAGAACTGGTAATGTTGCTTCTGTCTTTTGCATGTGGTAGAAGGGTATCAGATCATTATGCTCTGAAGAGACCGAGTTTAAAGTTATCAAAAGACAAAACTCAAAGCCTCAAGCCTTAGAAAATTAATTTCTGGACTTTGTCTGGTAAAGAGGATTTAGTTACTTTGCAATTAGCAGACTGGTTTAATCAACACTCTCTACTTCTAATAATCAGTCTAAATGTGAAGCCACTAAGGTTAATATCTCCAGTCTCATGGTCAAATCCATTGAATTCACACAGCCAAGTTGTATGCCTCTTGTACATTATTTTAGGAGAATGGTGATATCATTGGCCTAACTTTGCAGTTTCTCTGAATCCACATTTCAAAAGGATGCTTGGACATTGGCAGAGGTTCATCTCCCTTTACTACTGCTCCTTTAGAATGCATTAGACTTCAGTGCTTGGTAGGGTTAGTTATTCTTTTAATCTGGTTTCCAGTTAATGGCCTGTCTTGTTGTCTCCTGGAGCTTATCACCTCCATCCTCCCATCTGCACCAGATGGTTTTAAGTACATAAGTTGTCCAATCTGGTGCTTAAAGTATAAAAGAGGATTATTCCTGAAATTTCATTTTTAATCAGGTATGGAGATAGTGACTAAGATTCCTCTCCCATTCTTTATGATGCTAAGGTGATCTGGAGCTGATTCAGGATTAGTTGTGATGTTCCAGTTTGTAATCGTTAGCAATGTAGATTGTAAAGCTCATTACTGTTGGTGCAACTCGTGAGAACTTTCCAATTTTGCCAAACTAACAGCTCACACTTATCAGGGATCTTGACTATACTGTATGCAAGTTGTCTGATCCATGAGATGTCAGGATCAGTCCATCCCTTCTTAAGTACTGTACAACACTTTTCACTAGAATTTTTTAAATTTAGACCAAATATATTTTTACTGTACTTTTATGGTATGAAAATTTAAATTTAGTAAGAAATTAAGACTTTTTTGTTGTTACTGTACTACAGTAGATGGTAAAGTTATGAAGCGAGACAAAGACAAGGGAACCAATTAACTAAGAAGTACATTATGAGAATTTATTGAATCTAATGAATGTAGAACCATTCACAACATTTTGATGTTTATAAATGGAATTTTAATGCCTTTTCCCACTAATAGATGTCGCAAGTAGGGTTAACGGAAAGCGTACGTGGTAATAAGGGTGATATACGCAAATTTGAAGTGTGGCTTCAAGGACGACAGGAAGTTCACATTATCCTTGCTCCATCAGCTGAAGTAAAGGAAACTTGGGTAAAAGAAATAAAACGAGTGCTACTTGATCAGTTTGAGTACCTGAAAGGAGAGAATATTAAGCAATATTCTTCTAGGATTCAAAAGGGTGCAAGTCTAAATGGCATCAGAATTCCCCCACTATCTCCCACAACCCAACATAGGTAAGCTGTATAAAGTGTTTATGATACTACTGTAGTTTTGGCTTAATTTTATACCGATTTTACTTTATTATGTAAAAATTCATGCATGCATATACTGTATGTATAAACATTTACTGTGGATGACATTAATTAATAGCAACACTAACATGTAATGTGGTTCTCATGATGGATATTAGATAATGACTATCATACGTATATGCTGATAAGTGGTCTTATAATGTTGTAAGTACCGGGATTTGCCTTTGCTTTCAGAGCTTTAAGGCAAACTGCATCATGGGATATGGCTGGCAATGGGATGAGTGGCAGTGGTGGCTCTATTAGTTCCAGCAGTTCTGAGGGTCGGCAAGGTGGAGAAAGCAGCAAAGACAGTAGCCGTCGCTCTACGCGTATGATGAGATCTGTAGATTCTACCCTTGGAGATGCTCCAGAAGAGGAGGAAGAAAGCTGGTCGTCAGATTACTCGGCATCAGATGAGGAGGAAGACCAAGAAACCTTTTCTGAGAGCACAGAGGTGACTACTATTACTCTGTACAGCTGTGCGACTGATGAAAAATATCTTGATAATAGTATATCTTTTTTGAGGTACTTCACTGCAGTAGGGAGCTATCAAGTGAGGGATGATCATTACAAAAGAGACTTTCACCTGTCCTATTATTACCTGTTTCTTTCATTCTCTCTGTTCCCCTTAGGCGCTCCACTAATTCTCTCAATGAAAAGTCACTCTTCCCTCCTCCTGTGTAGAAAATCTATGTCTTCCCTGTGCAGCTCTTACACTCACTCTTTATGCCCTCTTTACCAGCTTATCTTCTTGTTTTGTCTCTTTACACCCTCTTTATTACTACTATCATCATGCATACTTCTCGGACATCCACACTGTGAGTCATACCCCACTCTTTCTGCCATTCTGAACACTCCTTACCACTCACCATTTTTTACTTTTTCATTCTGTTAACCCTTAGTTGTAACACTCAGGTAACTCGTTTTTAAGGCTAGAATAGAACATTCTGGTTTATTCCAAGCACCTAAAAAATGCTTATCCAGTATGTTCTTTCATTCATTGAGTTTAATTTCATAATAACTATATAATTAAGTTTTCTTTTCAGTATACATCATCACGGTTCTTGGTTTTGGCTGACTATAATGCCATGGGTGGCTCAGAGGTTAGCCTACGAGAAGGGGATTATGTAGACCTGATCAAAGTTGGATGTGCTGGCTGGTGGTATGTGCGAGTCTCTGGAACACCTTATGAGGGATGGGCTCCAGCTGCCTACCTTGAGCGGGTCCTCAAGAAGGGCAGCAGGTCCTCCCCATCAGTCAGTAGTCAGGAATCCTCTTCAGGTCTCAAACATGCCACTTCAAGGTGAGTGTACTGCAAGTTTTTTCTGTAGCATAGTGTGAATAATAATTTTAAAAAAATACCAGGAAGCATTGAGAAGGGAAGATAATTGAAGGAAATGGAAGAAAGAGAGAGAGAGAGAGAGAGAGGGAGGAAAGGAAAGATGGAGAAGAGATAGAGAGAGAAGAGATAAGCAAGAAGGAACGATTAGAAAAACAAGGGAGACAATAAAAGTAGAGCTGAGAAGATAAAATGAAGGAAAAATAAAGGGAAGAAAAAATAATATAAATTAAAGTTAGGAAGAGGAATTGGTAAAAACAAACAGAAGAAGTTAAGAAGGAAGAGGAAAAGGA